TTGATAAATAAATTATAAAAACGTAAACAATACGAGTTAAATAAAATTCAAAATCTATACCATATAAATTAATTTTATTAAAATTTGCCTTTGGATTTTGCTATATCTATAGCCATTTTCAAGCATATAGTATACCTAGGTACATTATAATTAAAGATGGTTGTAATATGTTTTGTACCTATGTACCTTAGATTTTAAAGTATATAATATGACAAAGTTTTTGAATGGACTGATAGAATAACTATGTTGGGTACCTATGGCCTAAATTAATTTTAATTTGAACAAAAACCATTTATCGAAAGTTTCAAAATAAATATTTTTTAACTATTAAAGAGTCAAAAGTTTATTAAAAGTAAATATTACTATAAAATGCTTATTAATATTCTAGTAAATCATATTTTAATAAATATGTATTTTTAATTATTATCAAATTAAAAATTCGAGAGACGCTAAAATGGTGGTACATGACCGATATTTTTTTATAAAATAAAAATGACATAGTACCATAGTACTATCGCATCAGATCCATTAGAAAAATTTCAATATAATTTGCAATATCACAACTATAATAATACAAGAAACCAATCTAACTTTCATGTACGGCAAGCCATCACTAAAAGTTTCCAAAATACAATTTTTATTAAAGGTTTAAAAAATTTAATAGACTGCCTACAGAAATTAAAAAAAAAGCAACAATAAATGTATTCAAAAGTAACCTCAAACAATACTTGATAAATAAACAGAACGGATATACTTTCTTGTGGTAATACTCTTTAAACCTGCCCTTTTTAAGTATTCCCCTTAATTTATTGTTATTTTACCCCTCGCTTTACCCGTATTTATTATAAATTATTTCTGTTTTGAGATCATGTACTTTATTTTAAAAAATACTTGATGTTAAATTAATACTACTTACGTTTAAATTAATATAGCCACAAAACTATTTTTGTGTTAAAGTAGATCCATAGAGAGCAATATAATTTACAAATGCCTTCTTTCAACATACAAATAAATGACAACTTTATAATTAAAATAAAAAACACGACAAAATACCTCGGTGCCAAGGTAAGAAGATTCATTTTTAAATTTGATTTATTAAGAAAATTTATGACTATGAGTTTACTAATTAATATTTACAATTCGCTGGTTGAATATGTAATCCAAAATCGTATAATAAAAATTGTCTACAAAAAAACAGCATTATATCCTACCTGTCTTTGATATAATAAAAAACTGCTTTGTATAAGAACATTATATTATCTGTCTTGCTGTACCTTTATTTATGGAAAGCCTGAATTGAGATACATTATTTGCAATGAATATCAAAAGAAGTATATATTTTTAAATAATTTGACATTCAAGAGCCATTACTGAGGCCCCATAGGAAGGGTCTCAGTAATATTGTACATCACTTGTGTGAAAGTAATTTTTTAATTTCACGTAATTGTCGAACTAAGCTTATGCCTCGTGCGACAATATTTCCTACCCGTGTGAAAAATTTGACTTTCAACACTCGTAATATAATATCCTATTTCAGGTCTATAGCAAACAAGTGATTTTGTAGTTAAAAAATAAAAATATATATTTTTAGAATAAAAATTCATAAATATTTTCTAATTTAATTTTTTTAATTAAAATAAAATTTAAATGTAATAAAATGTTTCCTAAAAAGAAGTAGAATTTACCTGTTGGCAAATATGATTTAATTCAGCAATGAATCTAGAATGTTGCTGTCCAATTTTTCGCATGTAAACTTTAAAAAATATTTTTCGAAACATAAAAGAACATGGGCAACCTTTTATAGAGATTCTTTTGTCATTTTTATTTTGTTTTTGACATTTTTGGGTGCTACAGAAATGATAACAATTGAATTTAATTTTATAACTAAAATGGTTTTATTTTCAAGAGGCCTTTTTAAAAAAAAATTTGGTGCATTTTATAAATAACTATATCGCTCTAATATATCTATACTGTATCTATCAATTTATTGTACTTTTGTTTTCCTTTTACTATTGAAAAACATAAGTTCTGGGAAGATATATAAACCCTTTAAGACATTAAAAAGATTAAGCTTTTCAAAAGTAAGTTTCTTTAATAAAATAATTATTTTTGGAAATATTGTTATAAAAATTATGTCTAGTATTTCTAAAGTCAAAATAAGTAACTTTTTTTAAAGATTTTATAATATGTTTTCTTCAATTGTATAATTGATATTCTAGATAAATACTACTTCATGTACTTAGTCAAACTTTAATACCTCAATGAGTATTTATTTTTAAATATATGGTGTGATACACTTTACAAAAAAAATGGTTAAATTAAAAATTTGTGGAAGCTAATTTTCGTCTGAAACCTATTTAATCTAACTTGTAAGCTGCTCAGCTGCTCAACTACTCAACTGCTTATCTGCTCAACTGCTCTAATATGTTCCATTTAAATAGTGAGAATGATTCGAAATCAATTTCACGTAAAAAAATTTATAATATAACTTTTTGTCATATAGCTTTTTTCATATAAACTTTTCTATATAATTTTTTGTAATATAACTTTTTGTCAATAAAGATTTTTTATGTGTGGAATTTGTTTGAATTCATTGTAGTAATATAATACTTTTATAAGTTCAATTGCTTAAAAATTAGTTTTGTTGCATGAAATAGACATAGATCAGTGTTTTTAATTGTGTAAAATTCGCTTTTGATAATTAGTATCCTACAATTTAGAAAGTATTAAAACATTTTAAAATGTTTATCAATAATTTTAACATTGCAAATTATTAATTATTATTATTGTCTTAATTTTTACATATATGGCTTAAATATTATTAAAATTTACCAAGTACCTAATTATCTAAATAAAAAGTAAACAGAACAATAATATTCCTATCAAATCATTTAATCAAATAATAAAATAATATCCAAAACAAAACGTTTAAACAGCCTAATTTGAATAACCATTTACCGCTAAACCCGACGAATCCAGCAACCTCTTATACACTTCCACTATCCGATACGCAGATTTCAAACTAGAAATATGCCCTCCTGATGTATATGCAGCCATACATGCACCCGCGTACGCGACATAAAATTCAGTCGCGACAGAGCGTCCGCCTAGCAATTTTCTTTTCCCTACTTTTCACACGGATACCTCAACTTGTTAGCACTACAAACAGTCTCACTCTGCTGTCAAACCGAACACGTGTGTATGTGTGTACGTATTGCAAACTTCACGTGTTGAACACGTGAATAGAAGCGTAACATTTAATGAGCAATTGTGCGGGATACCACAATTAACCATAATGTGTAAACTAGTGACCAAATTATGTACACAGAGTGGGGGTGTCATTGATGCACTTTGTCGATTGATATAGTCATGTATGTTTAGCAAAATACATTAACGTTTAAACATTATATTGTCTGTGTGTTGTCTGTATCATACGATTAAAAGTTAAATATGAATTTGAGAAAATGTCTATGTTGATAATATTTATTTTCATAGGTACTAAGTATACAATTCGAAATTCTTCACGTTATAAGTTTAAAGTTAATCTGAAAATTATTTTTATATCATCATTTTACATCATTTGTATAGTAAAATGATTGGCATAATATATCAATTCAAGGAGTGTTTAATAATATTCGAAATATTGCGAATAAAACAGATATGCTCATGATGAATAGAGTGATTCTTAAATTTGTTGGAGTCCCCAAACTACTGAATAAAATAAGCATCAACTATTTAAAATTATTATTCTATTTTTTCCAATATATCTAATGTTTTACTAAAAGTAAAATTACTACATATGATATGCAAATCAATGTTAAATTTCTTGAAACACATTTATGTACGCTTAATAGCAGAAGAGATATAGGTATTTTTCTCATTTTGTTTTTGTATGTATTTTGTGATTTTTCTTTTGTATTCTATTTTTAAAGCGAACTCTATTTCATTTTTCCATTTGAATAAAATTTCAGTCTTAGATCAGAATCGGTTTGACCGTTGTTTGGATACATTTTCACAGCCTGTATTTAGTTTTGTCTTTGGAATTTTCATTACATACTGAATTCAGTATTTAATAATAAATATTTATTTAAAACATAAAGGACACTTTTTAAAAAAAGACGGTAACAATAATATCAGTCATAATACTTACAAATGCTTCAATTTTCTGGTAGGTAAGTCTTGTGAATAAAATTACCTAATGGTCTCTATTGAATAAAAAGAAGTATTGGCTTCTACTTCTTCTTATTTAAGTATTTTCTCAGTATAAATTGAATAAAAGGTCAGTGACTACTTCATGTAAAAGAGATTACTTATGGCCATTAGCAAACTCTTATGGTTTTAAGCAGTTACTTAAAATATAAGGATTTACTTATATTTTTCCATATAGATGAATCCAGAGGAGGTTCACTTGGAGCTTGGCAAAAGATGGAGATATTCCTACGACATGTTAGTGACACCGGATTTAAAACAGGTATTGGTGAAGATTTTGGCGTTTATCATACTACAGTATGCAAAACCATAAGTACAGTAGCTGATTGAATCTTCGAAAAAGCCCACCTCTGAATAAAATTACCATCTAATCTAGATGCCTTGGAAGAAGCAAGAATTAAATGGTCGAATCGATTCCAAATTCCTAGTCACTGCTGTAGATTTCACGCATGTTCTAAATTAAAAAACCACCAGAATTTGGCGATGAATTTACTAACAGAAAAGTATTTGCTAGCATAAATGTGCAAGTAACTTGTGATGCTATACTTTTTTAAAATTAAATCAATTTTCTGTTTTTTTGTATTTCATTAAATTACAAAGTGCATCACAATATAAATTTAATTACATAAAGTTCCTAATGTAAAAACCAACATAATATATACAAGAAGAGAAATATATGTTTTTAAGTTACAGGTTTCTGATTCACTACAAGTCTATAAATTCTCGTAATTCTGATAGAATGCCGCTTGAACCTCCTAAGTTACTTTCGGGTTCATGGTTTGGCTGATTTGTCAGCCTATCATGAGTTGTTCCCTTTTGGCTTGCAATCTAGCGAGATTTAATTGCTCAAGTAGAACAAGGCGTTGCAATTCTTGCGTTGACAAGTTTTTTGTTTCCTCAGTTTCTTGTTTGATTCTTTTCTGTCGCCGCTTTTGTACAATGCTTGTGAGTGAAGGCAATAACTGTGTATCCATATTAATTTCCGTAGAAATTTGTGAAGTATTTTCTTTACCATTCTCTGTTCCAATAGAACATGCACCAGGAATTTTAAGAAAAACTGGATTTTTTTTATAATTCAATATTTTTAAAAACTCTTCTTCCCATTCTTGTAGTTTGATTTTTTTGTTCCCAGTTAGATTTTTATCAGTTTTTTTCTTCACGTTTGTTTTCTTATTATTTATATTCATTGCAAAAAAGAAATTATAAAACATTGCATTGCATATGGTATTGAATAATATTGGGAAAATGGCCAATGCTGATGTTAAAAAACTGTAAAACACTTTCTCAACACTTCTTGGTATGACGTGTCCTACTTGTATGATATACAGCATTAGTCTGAGCCTCATACTGTAAATTTAATATTTGTAGGAAATTAGTATAATTTTTTAATCTTTAAATAATTATTGCAATCATTCATAGGACCATAACCGTTTTTCTGGCCTTAAAAAAGGCTCTGATATTAACTGCGAATTATCTCTAGCGATCATGTATTTAAATGATATCGTTGGACTTATTCATTATGTATTCATACCACTCATATTCTTTAAAACAAGTAAGAGTAGTTGCTGCTATTTTTAGATTTCACAATGTTTCTTGCAAAGTGAAAAGCTTCACTTTACGAAAAAATAGTGTGAGGAAATTGATTTTAAATCTAACCGTAACTTAAGAAATTTCAAATATTTATTTTAATATGGACACTTTTTCCAAACCCTTAACACAGGACTTAAAAAGAATTAGGTTTGGACCACTTTACACTATCGCCCCTCATTTGATCGAATGATTGTACCTATTAATAGACGCACGAACCTTTTGCGTTTCACCAATGACAACAACAATTTATGTTATAATTAGTTGATTCCTCCCTCATCCCCAAATATTCATCATTGACTCTCTAATAACAGACATATTGAATAGTTAACAGTGACCTAGGTCAGTGTCAAATATGTGTGAATAATAATTAATGTTTAATTGAAACTGATATTATAGTGGTTAATGATTAACCGGTTAGTAAACCAACAGATTAAATTTTTAGTGGACATGCCAATTAAAGCCAATGTTCAAGTATATTGTTAATTTGATAATGTATGCAAGCTGCAGGGATGCCTATAGGTCGGTTAACGCGAATCAATTGAAAATGAATTAAAAATTGAATATTATATATTATAATCGATTGCTATTAAATAATGAATTGTGTTCAATTGAATGTTTTAAAATTAAAATTGTTATTGCGATATTTTTTTACGATAAATATATTATATTTAACATAATTTATTTATTTTTGATGCTTTTTGCCTCATTCATAGTGCTATGAATAACGGTTAAATTAAGTTTTACATATCTTTTAAAGTAAAATAAAATCTGTTGTAAATTAACATCTTGGCTTATTATAAAAAATACAGGGATAACTTATGTTTTTATAATGTTTTGGTGGATAAGTGGAATTAGATAATAAAAATAATATAAGTAGATACGTCAAACTTCAAATTTGTATTAAGGTAAATAAATTATTGGTTTAAATCTATTTTATAACAGAGATTAAAGATAGTTCAGCTGTGGCAACTACAATGTCATTTTTATTGCCAGAAAGTGTTTTTTTTTTAATATATCCGAATGCATTCAATTTTACAAGATTAATTAGCCGAGAGGCTCCACAATTAATGTGTTTGTGGAGCCTCTCCTTAGTTCTCATGTCTCTTGGCAATTTTTTAAATTTCTTCTGGAACTAATTCAGCTTGGAGTTCTCCGTACATGTCATTATTCCGAACATACCAAGGCACATTAACTATGTTCCTGAGCATTAGGTTTTGGACTAGGCAATAGTGATTGCTTTTTTTAAGACCGACCAGAAAATGTACACTTTATGACCAATTTTTTGTTCAAAAAATATCGTTTTGCCGATCAATACCGGAAAGTAAACGTTAGGGACCGGTAAAAACTTTTCTTAAGACCGACCATTCGTCCAGAAAATAATGTTTCGTTGATCAAGACTAGAAAATAGACGTTAGGGACCGGTAAACGTTTTACCGGTCACTGTTTTTCATTTTTCCAATCGCTGTTTGATAACACAGTCTGCCTTGATTTCATTACTTTGGTAACAACGTTCCGATTTTTTGTCAAGTGACAGTTCGTTGATTTTAAATTTTTTGTTTATGACAAAATTGTTTCCGCAAATTTTAAAATATGGATTTAGGTTTTGAATTATCTGACATAGAAAATAAAATTCTAGAAGAAATTTTGGAAACAGCCTAAAATGTACATTTAACATAAATATTCAAACATAATGTATTTGGTTAGTTTACGCAGTTATATCCATTATCTATAGTTTTAGTATTTCTTAATCACTTTATTAAATAAAATAAATAATTGAGTTTACATCGAAGTGTCGGTCTTAAAAAATATAATGTACGTCACGCGACCGAAAATTAGTGTTAAGCAGGTCTCCCCAAGCTTATCTCGACCTGCAAAACACTACTTTCTGGTCTTGTAACGTAAATTACTATTACTGGTCCCTGTTTTCCATTTAATTTCATTTCATTTTTGGCGTCTTTGAATTTGATTCCAAAAAAATCAAAAATGATATATGAAAACCTAAGATTTAAGAATTCTAATCGGTATGTAACACTTTATACACTTAACTTTAGAGGTCATGGCCGATAAAGTACTTTATGAAGCATATACAAAAGTTGTACTTCTTGACTATGCGTTCTGTCCGAAATTCTTTAATTTTTTCTCCATAACAATTTTGTTTAATAAAGAGATTAATCAATTAGCTCTATCTTTCTAAATTGCGGTAAACCTATACTAAATAATTAATAGTTAATAAGTTTAAGATTTTCGGAAAACATTACCACACACATTCAATTGCAGAAAATAAAATGACTTAATTATTTAAATACGAATTTTAGCCATTTTTAAAATTAAATTTCTTAGATCAAGTAGAACAGATTTGTTAATTTAAAGTTAAAATATAATTCAAATCAACTATTGCATTTATGAGGAACAAACTGAAACTAATTTTAGACAAATTAAAAATAACTTGTACTTTTATAAGAATGGCAACATTTTGATAAGAGAAATTGTACAATAAGTTGTATATACATTTTTTTGTTTTCATAAAAACACCTCACACCTGCATCGACTTTTGGTACAGTTTTCCAAAAATAAGAGACTACTATTAATTTCATTTAAAATTATTGTTATTTATTATTAAGTATCTATATAATATGAATGTAATAAACCTTTGACTGCATTCTACTTTTATTAAATGGTTAACCTATACCTACGTTTCAAACATTTTATTGTTATTTTATGTTATTATGTTTTTTATAGTGTTATTACTTAAAAAAAAAACAATATTTATATTATTAGTTTTTTATAGAGTAATGAATGCCAAAAAATGTAAATGAATAATAAACCGCGGTAACGCTGGTCCCTCTTCTTTTTATTTTCTTCTTTTATGCTATCTCTAACTATCAAGTCAATCAGCCAACTGTGTAGTTTGCGATAGTAGCTCCTAATAGTATGCTTAGGAACTAACAACTTTTTACCAATGCTGTGCATTTAAACGGTTTAGCTTACATATTATTTGATCTATGATTCTAATTTGTATATATTAAGTACCTATATATTAAAAATGTTATTATTTGTTTTTATTCTTTGTTTACCTTCTAATTTGGATCGAAAAAAGTTTATTTTTCGTTTCTTATATACTTGTTTTTTTTATTTACTACACTGCGAATTTTAATTATTTCCCGCTGTATTAAAATCTACTGTTCAGATCTATGGTTTTTTTCACCCATACTGTTCCAAAATCTGGCAACACTGCCTAGATCGAAAGAATTTTCAACCTATTCACCTCCAAAATGAAGCGATGCTCGGGGTCAGTGATCTCGAGTGCGACAGGCAGCAAACCTTTGCCCCGAGTCAGATTCAGAAGTGTCGCTAGGAAGTGTCGTCTTGACGCGCCGTGCGAAATGTGTTTCATATAATTGTATGTATTTTAGATGTGAAGCGACACTTCTCGGTCGCGTCGGCGGTCGTATGTCGCGTCGGCGGTCGTCTGTCGCGCCTACCGAAATGGTACCTTAAGTTATCTAATAATTTATATTGCATCATATTTTTATTTGTGAAGAATTTGTAAAAATTTATTCGTAACTCTTCTGTCTGCGAGTTTACCTAAAACTAATATTTGACTAAATGTGTCATATGTTAAACATCAAATGTATCCATTAGCTAAGGATGCAATAGTATCGTTTGTCAAACTGCTTTTATATTTATTAGAAAACCAAATCAAATATAATATTTTTGAAACGATATTCGAAAAGTACATCATAAATTTACTTAAATACTTCACTGTTCTTTCCGAAGGGGAGACCACATAAAAGTTGTCCAACCGGACTTGAATAATACCGATCTCTTTGAACAATGAACAAGTTGGTGGTAAAATAAACTGGCCTTTATGACAAGTATATTTTAAGGTTCATAATAAAAATTATTGAATGGTTAACGGTTTTTTATTTTTAAAAATTCTAATTCATAAAGACGGGAATGATTATTCGGAATCAGTTGAATATGAGAGTTTGTGAGTACAGCAGGTAATAGGTGAGTTATTTTAGTGATATTTTAATCGCGTTATATTACAAAGTATATTAAAAACACCGAAATAGGAATGGGTTATTGCTTTCTTTGGCATTGTTTTGGTATTTATTTGTTGAACTTTAAAGGTAGTTATTAAATATTGTAGATCTAAATTTTATAAAATTGGAAAACTACAACCCAAAATCTTTACATTTAATCGGTAGTGATTATTTAAAAAAAAATCTGTACTGAAATATGTTCTGATCAACTTCCTAGGGCTTTTCAAAAATGACAATTCTCTATAAAAAATTTTAAATTTATTTTAAAAACTTAACAATGCCTCTTGGCTGCTGTAAACATCATTTTTAAACTTCTTTATAAGGACTCATACAATCCTTGAACAATTTTTTCATTTTTACCTTTTTTTTTACATGTAAACTTATTTTAAATTAAACAATAGAATTTAATTTTTTATCTCAAACCTTAAACGAGATAACTTGGAGATATAGTTATGCTTTAAAACAGTTGCTTTAATAAAATAATTTATATTTACCATTCCTGCACAAGAAAATATTAATAAAAAAAAAAATAATTAAAATAAATTAATAAAAAATAAATATTGTAATTACTGCTAATAATAATTATTTGAACTACACAATTGGGCTATAAGAGACATATTTAAGAAAATGTCTTGAGACACTATTAGTATTGATATAAATTTAGAACGAATTAAAGGAGAAAAGAGAAAAGTGATGAAAGCCGACTGAAA